AAAACGTTTTTTTCCTTACCTAAAAGGTTTCGGACCAAACACCTTACAAGTTTTTGGACCAAAAGTGCTTTTGGCAAAAAAAAAAAAATACTTTTTGCCAAAAAGAAGCTTGGCCAAACAGGCTATAAGTCTTGGCTACAAAACCAAAGAAAGAACAATTTTCTTCGATTATGTTTTATTCTATTAGTTAGTTCATTTGAATTAGTTTCTAAATTTAAAGAGTTGGATATTAAGAATTTTTAACTTAGGAAAATAGTTTTCTTTATAACGGACACACCCTTAACCTTAATAAAAGTTCACCTAAGTAGCATAAAAGACTGAATTTGCATAGGAGTGGTTCCACACATTTTGTTAGTTGTTACCCTTTTTATGATCTCCAAGTCGATGGAGGCGATTCAAACTCAATGTTCTTCCAAGATTTATGTATGGCGATTGGCAACGATGACCATATTTGTACAAGTTCATCCTTAGGATGCAGGACAATTTTGCTGCTTTTTCATCAAAATGAAATTGTGACAAACTGTTAGAAATGCAAACTCAAGCTTGAATTGATCAACCATGGCTGAAATTTACACTTAGCTCAAAGAGAGTTCTAAAAATGAAATGTTCTAGAATAAGAGCTATTGTTCTTCTCTGTACAAAAATGACCCGCCTATATCCTTACTAAGAATGAAAAACATAAATACAAATTGAGCCAGGCCCAGTTACAGAATATAACCCAACTAATAACTAACAAGGCTAGCCCACAACACTAGCCCACATCAGTAGTATCACAATCAGTTATCCGAACACCCCCCTTCAAGTTGGAGTATGATAAAACACCCAACTTGGACAAATATGAATGATGGGCAGCACCAGGCAGACTTTTGGTGAAGACATCAGCCATTTGAGTGGATGGAAGTATGGAGCACGGTAACCAAACCATCAGCCAAGTTGGTGCGAACAAAATGACAATCCAACTCAATATGCTTGGTTCGTTCATGGAACACAGGGTTCTTGGCAATGTGAATTGCAGCCTGGTTATCACAATAAACAGGAATAGAAGATATGTCAGTCAAGCCAAAATTAGCCAAAAGCCTAGCTAACCATGTGACCTCTGCCACAGCCTTGCTCAAATACCTATATTCAGCTTCAGCTGAAGAGAGAGAGACAATTGGCTGCTTCTTAGATTTCCAGCAAACCAAATTGCCACCCAACAGGATGCAAAAACCAGTCATTGATCTTCTGCTATCAGGACAAGACCCCAAATCACTATCACAATAAACTTGAACAGAAAAATCAGAGAAGTTATTAAGGAAAATCCCAAGATCAGAAGTACCATTCAGATACTTCATGAGGTGGAGGGCAGATTTCATATGAGGAACACAAGGTTTCTGCACAAATTGACTAAGGTGCTGCACAGCAAATGAGAGGTCTGGCCTGGTGTGAGTGAGAAAATTCAATTTCCCAATGAGGCTTCTGTATACTTCAGGATTGGGCAAAGGTTCACCAACAGATGCCATCAGTTTCTCATTCAATTCAATAGGGCAAACAACAGGGGTACAGACATCACAATGAAACTCTTTTAGCAAATCACTGATAAACTTTTTCTGATGAAGAAAAACACCAGATGGAGTGTACAGCACCTCAATACCAAGAAAATAGTTAAGCAGCCCCAAATCCTTTATTTTAAATTGGTCATGGAGAAAACACTTTAAAGCAGTAATCTCATTCATGTTAGTTCCAGTCAAAATAATGTCATCCACATACACAACTATAATAACCAAGGAATCACCTGAACCCTTGGTAAACAGAGAATAGTCATTGTAAGAATGGTGGTACCCTATAGACTGTAATGCTAGTGATAATTTGGCATACCATTGTCAGGATACTTGCCTCAAACCATAAAGAGATTTCTACAATTTGCACACTAAAGGGACAGAAGAAGAAGGAGAAGAAATAGACAAACCAGGAGGAAGTCTTATATACACTTCCTCATCCAGATCACCATGCAAGAAAGCATTATTAACATCCAATTGAAATAGGGGCCATCCCTTCTTAACTGCCACAACAACAAGAGTCTTGACAGTAGACATCTTTACAACTGGAGAAAAAGTTTCATGAAAATCAATACCTTCAACTTGAGTATCACCCCGAACCACTATCCTAGCCTTATACCTTTCAATTCTACCATCAGCTCTATACTTAACCTTTTGGACCCATTTGCAGCCTATAGGCTTCTTCCCAAAGGGCAAAAGAACAACCTGCCATGTGTTGTTAGCTTCCAAAGCCTCAAATTCAGCTCTCATGGCAGCCTGCCATTCTGGAACAACTGCTGCCTGAGAATAAGTTGAAGGCTCAAGAACAGGCAACTAACTAGAAATAGGAGGTGGAGGATCAGAGGTGGAGTCAACTGAAGTTGAGTTGCAGACATTACTTTGAAGATATGCAGGCTATTTGTGTTCCCTGGTGGACCTTCTTAAAGGAGGAGAAGCAGGAGAAAGAGATGATGAAATGGGAGAATGAGATGAAGAAGGTGAAGGTTGATGTACAGAAGAGGAGGAAGGCGGAGTGGAAACAGAAGGAACAGAAGGAAAAGAAGCGGGAGAGGGAGAAGGAAATGAAGAAGAAATAGGGCTTGTACCCAAGGAAGGAGTATGAACAGGGTGAGATGCAGGAGATAAGTCATCAAAACAAGTAGAGAAAGGGAAGGGACACATAGTAGAAGAGACAGAAGAGGATTTGAGAAAAGGAAAAATGTGTTCATGAAATACAACATCCCTAGAAACAAAACAAGAATGAGACTCCAAATTGTACAACTTGTAGCCTTTCTTGGCAAAAGGGTACCCCACAAACACACATGGTACATCCCTTGGTTGGAATTTATCTCTATGAGGCATAGGCACAGTAGAATAACAAAGACAACCAAAAGCTCTAAGATGTGAGTAGGAAGGAGGCTTACCATAAAGAAGTTCAAAAGGACTCTTGTGAAACAAAAGGGAGAAGGAAACCTGTTGATCAAATAGGTAGCTGTCAAGACACAATCACCCTAGAATCTAATGGGAAGATGGGACTGAAAAAGTAAAGCCCTAGCAGTATCAAGCAAGTGTCTATGCTTCCTCTCCACCACCCCATTTTGTTGAGGAGTATGAGGACAAGAGGTTTGATGCACAATTCCCTTAACAGAGAAATATTGAGAACCAGAAAGACTAGACCCCAATTCCAATGCATTATCACTTCGTACAGTTTGCACCTTGGTGTGAAAATGGGTCTCCACCATGGCAATAAAGGCTTTCAACATATCAAAGGCATTGCTTTTGGACCCTAGGAGATGGGTCCAAGTAGCTCTAGTATAATCATCAACTATGGTCAAAAAATATTTGGATCCAGTATATGTGGGTGCATGGTAGGGTCCCCAAGTATCTATATGTATTTATTGAAAAGGGGCAGTTGATTGTATTGAACTATCAGGAAATGGTAATCTAGTTTGTTTGGCTAAAGGGCAAATAGGATAAGAGAAAGATTTTTTAGAAGATAACGTGGATTGCATGCAGAAACAGATTTCATTTTGGAAAAAGACAAGTGTCCAAGCCTGTAATGCCAAACAACATCCTCTTTATTCACTTTATTAACATGTGCATCAGTGGCTACATCAGTATGATCAATAGACAAACTTGCATGACTACTAGGTGCACTAGGAAATTCAGTAGAGGAAGGATTACAAGGAATAAAACAAGGAAAAACATTGGGTAAAGTAGCATGACAACACAAAGGACCAGAATTTGCAGGAAGTTGAAACAGCTTGTAAAGCCCATTGTCTGGTCTACCAAGCACCACTGGCTTCTTCAATGAAGGGCCCTGTAGAGTACAACCAGTGTTGGTAAATTGAACTATATCACCTGATTTTTCAACTAACTTATAAACAGAAATGAGATTGTGTTGAAAGCTAGGGACATAAAGAACATTATGAAGGGTAAGATCAGGGGACAAAGCTAATGAACCAATATTGGTAACTCTAACTTTATAACCATTAGGAAGAGAAACTAAGTAAGGAATGGGTAGAGTCTGAATGTCAAAGAGAAGGGACTTATCAAAGGTCATATGATCAGATGCCCCAGAATCTATGATCCAAATAGTATTCTTTATTTTAGTTAATAAACAAGTTCTGAACAACCCATTCTCAGGCAACAACTTACCAGCAAAATTAGTAGAAGCCAAAAGATTTGGAGTAGCAGGAGAATCAGAAATGTGAGACTGTTGAAGCAGAATGATCAACTGGGAGTATTGATCTGACCCAGGCAAAGTGTAAAGCTGCTCAGATTCAGTATGCATGACAGGACCACCAGCATTTCTTGTCTCATCAGAGTTAACAGGAGATTGGACCTCAACATGTGCTGCAGTTCTCCTAGGTGTATTATTTTTAGTGAATTTGAAATTCCGAGGAAAACCATGCAGCTTGTAGCACTTTTCAATAGAATGCCCTGGTTTCTTACAGTACTTGCAAATGATAGAAGACCTTTGATTGTCTGGTCTTTGAGGATTGAAATTCACCTTAGAGGGGGAGGATTGTTTGGACACTCCAGCATTAAAGGAAGCAGAGTTTGAAGGAAACTGAGAAATGGAGGATACTTGCCTTTGTTTCTCATCACTTAGTAGAATCCCATAAACTGTACTCATAGATGGAAGGGGCTTTATCATCAAGATATTACTTCTGACTTGGAGGTAAGTCTCATTGAGTCCCATTAAAATTGGTAACCTTCTGCTCTTCCTCAGCCTTTTTATTTCCCCCACATGTGCATACAGAGAGGTGATTAACAGAAATGGAAGCTATTTCATCCCAAAGTTGTTTTATTTTGTTGAAATAGGAGGCTATGTCCAAATGACCCTGAGAAATGTGAGATAACTCCTTCTTAAGTTCAAAAATTCTAGCACCATCAGCCATACCATATCTCTCCTCTAACTCATGCCAAATGTCTTTGGCCAGTTCTGAATACTCAACACTACGAGAAATCTCCTTGGTGAGAGAATTGGTCAGCCAAGACACAACCAAATCATTACAACGTTGCCATTGCCTGACTAGAGGGGAACCAACAGGTGGTTTTTGAGTAGTGCCATTTAAAAAGTCCAATTTATTGCGTACAGACAAGGCCACCAGAATATTTCGACGCCAGTTTCCATAGCTAGTGCCATCAAAAGGAGTGGAAACTAGAGAGGCTCCTAAAACATCAGATGGATGTACATAAAGAGGATGGCACGGGTGAGTATAGTCATCAAGATGAAAAGCAGTAGGACGAGAGAAAGAAGAGTTTCCTCTGTCAGCAATAGGAGTAGCATCGCAGGGAGGAGTAATCGTCATAGCGAACGAAAGGCAAATCCGGCACAATATCAAATAGAACAACAACAATTTAAGAAAATCAAAAACAACTAATTGACTTTACTACTCAAAAATCTCGATCAACAATCAAAAGAACAGACGATGAAAGAGACGAGGTTACCAACACCTTCGCGACCGGAAGGAGACGACCTTCTAGTAGTAATAGAAGAATCTAATCTTTGAAATGAGCTCCAATGAGAAACCCTAACACACCAGATGAACTCAGCCAGATGGAACCCGGCGATCAAAAAAACCCTAGATATCCGAACAATTCTAATCGACATAGAGATTCTCACAATTTGACGAAGAATCACACAATTTATGAAGAATCCAGGACCTTCGAACCTCAAATAGAGAGACGGAAGAACGAATTTGAAAGAAAAAACATAAAAACGATCTTAGGTGCGAAATTGAAAAGATTCGAGTGAAGGATTACGAGCTTAGCATCGAAAAAGGATTGAAGGACCAGATTTAATGCTTCCCGCTCTAATACCATGTTAGAAATGCAAACTCAAGCTTGAGTTGATCAACCATGGCTGAAATTTACACTTAGCTCAGAGAGAGTTCTGAAAATGAAATATTCTAGAATAAGAGCTATTGTTCTTCTCTGTACTAAAATGACCCGCCTATATCCTTACTAAGAATGAAAAACATAAATACAAATTGGGTCAGGCCCAGTTACAGAATATAACCCAACTAATAACTAACAAGGCTAGCCCACAACACTAGCCACATCAGAAGTATCACAATCAGTTATCTGAACACAAACAACTGAAGTTCGATAAAAATGCGGCGAACAAGTACTACTAAAAACTTGTGTTACTGCAGTTAACAGTTAATAGTGAAATCCGCTACTAGATATCAGTGATAACAAGAAAGGAAAAACACTTATTACTTACAATAAAGATTACATTTGATAGCGTTAGAAAATATATTAAGTTCCAAATACAATTCAGACTATATGTTATTTTCTCCTCCGATACTTGTAGGGGAAACTAAACTTGTGAATACAAACAACTGAATCTAGTTCCTCAGGCTATCTCTTTGATGACCCCAAAGGGTCATCTTTTGTTTTAGAATCCGAATATGGGTTCTGAGGCCTTGAAAACTTCATTTTCTTTCTTCTCGATTTGCGTGCGCAGTCCGGGCACGTTTTCGGAAAGCATTTATGTGAAATTTAAGAAAAATATTATAATTGGCCTTTAAAATTGATTAAAGTTGACTTCGGTCAACGTTTTTGGTAAACGGACCCGGACCCGTGATTTGACGGTTCTGTAGGGTCCGTAATAAAATAAGGGACTTGGGCGTATGCCCGGAATCGAATTCCGATGCCACTAGCCCGAGAAATGAATTTTTTGAAGAAAATTATTTGCTGGAAAATATAAGAATTTTTAGAAATGGAATAGTGTGTGTCGTTGGTATCGGGCCCGTATTTTGGTTCAAGAGCCCGGTACAAGTTTAATATGGTATTTAAGTTTCTATGAAATTTGGTGAGAATCGGAAGTGATTCGACGTGATCCGAACGTCCGGTTGCGAAAATAGAAATTTCAAGTGTTCTTAAGAAAATCATGAGCTTTGGTGTTAAATTCGTTGTTTAAGATGTTATTTTGGCGATTTGATCGCACGAGCAAGTCCGTATGATATTTTTAGACTTGTGTGCATGTTTGGTTTGGAGCCCCGAGGGCTCAAGTGAGTTTTGGATAGGCCACGGGGTGTTTTGGACTTAGGAAAAATATTGCTGGTATCATTCAGCTGTTGTAGGCCTCTGATCTCGCAATTGTGAGATCAGGCTTCGCAACTGCGAGCTTCACAGGCTTGGCAATTGCGAGCCTTTCATCACAAATGCGATCAAAAGGCTGGGCCAGCTTAGTTCGCAATTGCGAAGTCAACACGAGGGTCAGCCTTGGCAATTGCGACCAACGGTTCGCAATTGCGACATTAGCAGGAATGCAACAGGTTCGCATTTGCGAGCTTCGCAATTGCGAAGCTCTTGTCGCAAATGCGACATCTGCAACTTATCAAAATATGACTTAGACGGGATTTTGAACTCATTTCTCAAATTTTCAAACCCTAAGCTCCCATAGGCGATTTTTCAAAGGAGAGTTCTTTCTCCAAATCATAGGTAAACTATTTCTAACTCATTTTCTTCAATCTATTTCATCTTTTTACATGATTTCATCGCAAAATTTAGGGTTTTTCAAGGGAAAATTGGGTGTTTTTGGGTAGAATTTAGGAATTTCGATATTTGGGGATCTAGACCTCAAATTGAGGTCGGATTTCAAAACCAATTGCATATTTGGGTTCGTATGTGAATGGGTAATCGGGTTTTGGTTCGAACTTCGAGTTTTGACCAAGCAGGCCCGGGGTCGGTTTTTGACTTTTTGGGGAAAATGTTGGGAAATCTATAATTAAGCATGGGAATTGAGTTCTTTAGCATTTATTGATGTTATTAAGATAATTATGACTAGATACAAGCGGATTGGAAGCGGAACCGAGAGCTAAAGCAGTAATTGAGGCTTGATTTTTGGCCGTGGAATCGAGGTAAGTGTTTGGTCTAACCTTAGCTTGAGGGAATAAGTCTTATTGTCTTAAATGCTACGTGTTTAGTTGTTGAGTATGACATATAGGTGTGGTGTCGAATATCTATACGTTGTTGTTGGGTCATAGCATGCAAATGAGTCTTATACTTGTAACCATTGTGTCTCTTATCACGTATTGTTCATGCTTAAGCTGGTTACTCTTTATGTTGAGCGAGTTTGGTTATATTTTCTTGTTATTGGGTTATTGTTGAGTATTGACTCAAGTTGAGACTTACATTGTGAACTTAACTGTTGAAACGAGATTGGTTATAGATGATTCCCTTGCCGGGATATTATTGTTTATATTGTTTGGGTGAGGAAGAGTGTAAAGCACGAAGGGTGATATCGTGCACGATATTGTGAGAGAGTGTTAATGCACGAAGAGTGATGCAGTGCCATATTCAGTGAGTGTTGATGCACGAAGGGTGATGTCGTGCTATTTCTGTTGATTCTTATGGTGAGGACGAGAGTAAAAGCACGAAGGGTGATGTCGTGCATGTGTTACTGTGTTATCATTTCTATTGGTTCAAAGTCTAATATTTACCTTGCTTCTTTACTTTATTACTGTCAGAATTTGATATTCCCCTCAGCATGTTTCCCATCCCCGTCTTTATCTGTTAAATTTCTGTTATTATTTTTCTCGTATACGATTTAACTGCACAGGTTTATATTGTTGTCGTGTCCTAGCCTCGTCACTACTTCGCTGAGGTTAGGCTCGACACTTACCAGTACATGGGGTCGGTTGTACTGAAACTGCACTCTGCACTTTCTGTGCAGATTTCAGTGCCAGACCTCATGAGTAGAGTTTGGGTTGCTGCCTTCAGTCCACGAGAGACCCAAGGTAGATCTGCCGGCGTCCGCAGACCCTGGAGTCCCCTTCCCTCTATTTTGGATTTTCTGTCTCTTTCCATTTCGAGAACAATTGTAATTCTTTTAAACCAGTATTTGTAGAACTTCTTAGACGTTTGTGAATTGTGACACCAGATCATTGGGGGAGACATGTATTGGAGTTTTTGAGCTGTTATAACACTTCCGCACTTTATATCTGTTTAGCTTTAGTTATTACTCCCGCTGTTCCAGTTTATGTGAACCTATTTCCTTTTTGGTCCTTTCGAAAAAGAATGACCCATTTCTAAATTTGGTAACAATTTAGCTTGAAACTTACAATTCTACCCTTAATGAGAAGCTTTTACAAAAACACAAATACTCTGGGCTCCTTTTTGACTTGTTTAGGACCACAAATTCCAAAAGTCTTCATTTTTTCTTAAACTCCGTGTCCAGTCAAATAGGTTCACATAAATTGGAACGGAGAGAGTATTTACTTCTGTTTGGGTTAATTGTTAATGTGTTAAAACCGTAATTGTTGGCTTGTCTAGCATTCAAGAGTTAGGCGCCATCACGATTCCGTCGGTGAGAAATCCGGGTCGTGACAATCTCAGATGACCTTTTGGTGAAACTTGAAAGGAAATTCACGAATGATCTGAATTGATTGTGATCGTAGCAACATGCCTCGTACCACTGATAGAATCATCATTTTCTATTCCAAATGTATACTAACCTATCCATAGTCAAAAGCAACTAACAGTAGAACGTGTGAACATAAAGCTGTTTGCTTAATCCAGGTTCCTTGACTTTGTCCCTCAAAATCCGATACGTTTAGCCTTATGCAACAGTGCTAACATTCTCAACTTCAGGGACATTCTACATCATCCCCCTGTGAGCATGGCCTAATAAGACTTGCATATTCTTTTACCACAATCAGAACCTAAAGTACATTGGCCAACTTGTACTTCACTAGCATAGGCATTATCTATAACCAAGGACATGGGCGGAGCTAGCCTATGGCTTACATGTTCCGTCAAATCAAGTAACTTTGGTCCAACTTCGTATTTGTTTTAACGAATTCATTGAATGTGTGCAAATTAGTACGTAAATTAGAACTCAGTAACTTAAAAAGATTACAATCCCGAACCAAAAACTTCAAATCCTGACTCTACATCTGTCCAGGAAAACTAAAGTGAAATTTTTTATATTATTCAGTCAAAGTTGAGTAACCAAATGCACATATAATTTACTCAAAATCTTTAGTAGGAAGGGACTAGTAAGGACATTTATTTTCTTTTAAAGGACAACAGACTACAACAGCAATAACATTACGCTGCGTTTTTTTATTTTTATAATATGCATCCGTTTAACCAAAAAAAAAAATGCTCTCCTTAAAGGACTGCAAATTGCAGAAGAAAGACAATTCACACCTTTGGAGATAAACACTGATTCAACAGAGGTAATTAGAATGTTAATTAATGGAAACCTCTATTTTGACTCACTTATTTATGAATGCAGATCAATCGTCCAAAGACTAGGCGACGTGGTGGTGAAGCACAGTTACAGGGAGACCAACAAAGTTGCTGACATGCTGGCAAAGGAAGGGGCAAGAAAAAAAAAATTGAAGATGTTTTGTAACAACAATTCCTCCGGTGTTTGTCAATCACATTTTTTGGGCAGACATCGCAGGAACTGTGTTTGAAAGGAAAATAATGGACTGTAATAGTGATATGAATAGTATACTAGAGGGGGGTATCACATACCCACCCACAAACGATCTTTTTGTACACCCTAACGGGCAGTTGGTTTTTTAATTATAATATGCATCCGTTTAACAAAAAAAAAAAACATTCCGCTGCACAAAAGACTAATTTGCCACAGCGAGGCAAAAGTTTGAGCAACACCCACAGTGTGATACCTGACTTACACATAGTAAGTTGTCATGGTTTTTTGGCAAAACTCATAAAGATGGCCAGGTTTTCAGATTTATGTAATATATGCTTCAGTAAACTTAGCAAGGATGATGATTTCATACCAATAGTTTACTGGCAAAACTTGCATATACAAGATACTTGACAACAGTACGCATGGAGAGAAAATTAAACTGGAAGCGCTTACTTTATTATTTTATTCCTCTCAATTTTGATTTCTGCTTTTACTCAACCTTCTAATAGCACAATTTTACTGAGAAGAAGATGCCGGTTTATATATTGTCAGTAATTAATGGAACCCGCACAAATCAGCATAGCTTATTCGCAGTCAAACAGGCTAATTCTAAATCCCAGAAATGACACATTCCCAGAACTGTGTATCTGAACATCTGAGTAAATCTTAATTCCAAAATAACAATTTGCAACCACATAGCAAACAGTCAAACACCAAACATCACCTGTAGTTCCATGGTAATATAATTTTTAGAATCAAGACAAATATGCACCATTATTTACTCTATGCATTTGTTTATAATTTATGAGGATAAGACAAATCCAATCCAAAACCAAACCAATTTAAATCACAAATTACAAAAAAGGCACGCAATGAAAGGGCAATACAAACAGTGAGCAGAAGTAGATCTACTCAATATATACAGGCACATTAAAATCCTCGTAGAATTAGCATTAGAGTTGCATGTAAATATGAAATGGCAAATAGCATCATTTCAAGTTATTAAACCACCTCAAAGTGCAAAAAGAAAAGAAGTAGGAAATGAGATCTAAAAATAGTCATTCATAGAAGATAAGAAGCAGGAATTATAGCTGAAATACTAATGAGATCCATTTCATTAACACAAATAACTCAATTACAATGATCTCATAACTTTCATCAACAATACTAAAATTAAACACCAACTAAACTCCATTTCCCCCCAAACACAAATAAAATTACACAAATCAACCTCCAAATCCATAAAGGGTCCTGCCTTGTCTCTTCAGCGAATAAACAACATCCATTGCAGTAACAGTCTTTCTCCTAGCGTGCTCAGTGTAAGTAACAGCATCACGAATCACATTTTCCAAAAATATCTTCAAAACTCCTCTCGTCTCTTCATAAATCAGCCCGCTAATTCTCTTCACTCCACCCCTACGAGCCAATCGGCGAATAGCTGGCTTAGTGATTCCCTGAATGTTATCACGGAGAACTTTACGGTGCCGTTTTGCTCCTCCCTTTCCCAAACCCTTGCCTCCCTTTCCACGGCCTGACATTTTTTGGTAGAGTAATTGAACTGAGAAGAATATGGATTTTGATTTGAGATGGAAAAGAAAGGAGGGTAGGGTTAGGTTTTATAAGGACTTGATTTGGGGATTTTGGTTTTGGCGGTATGATTTGAATTTTGTTTTCAGATTTGGGGATAGAGTTTTTCTTTTTCTGTGAGCCGTTGATGGGAGTATGTATCTACGGTGGAAAAGCATTATTGCCTTAAACGTGGATCGATGCTTAGACCTCTAAGTACGCGGATCGGTGACGTGGAGTGTGTGGTCCCGTATATTTAGGTGGAATTAAAGAAGCATATGTTTTAAAATTTGTACAGTACGTGACTTCTATAGAAAATGATAACCTTATTCAAGAAACAATTAAGTTAATTACAATATTTAACTTGTTCTAGTTTAAGCCAAAATATAAATATTTTGATACATTAGAGAAAAGAAAATAGGACCTTTTGTATACTTTTTTTTTTGGCCGAAAAGAAGAACTTATATTATAGAAGATAATTAAACAGTAAAATTAGTACAAGGAACAATATGTGTCATATGCATCGTAGTAGCTAAGCTAGAAACCGTAGGATTTACTACAAGTTCCCCTATATGGGGATCAGTACTAGCTAGATAGTAAGTGATAACTAGGCAAAACATTAGTATTACAAAAAGTAGATGTAGCAGGGAGCGATTGTGTTGAAGCAGTTATGTTGATATTTACGAGCCTCCTTTGTAGTGTTCCTTTCTGATCTTGCTGGTAAGAAGGTGTGGCAAAAAGTGGTGGGTGTGCAAAAAGTATGCAGTTATCCTCTGCATGCGTGGCTCCATATTTAGCTAAACTGTCTGCAACACAATTTTGCTCTCCGTAGATATGTTGGATATGAGGCCCGGCTGTAGAAGTAACAACCTGCAATCATTAATAATGTTAGTATGATGCATAGTAGTTGTTTGGAACATACCGATGAGTTGTTGCGCATCTGTTTCAATGACAATGGGTATGATTTGCTGTTGTACAATAATTTTCAGTCTCATTAGTAGTGCAAGGAGTTCTGTCTGGACGCTTGTACCCGGGTTCGATTGTCCTGCAAAATCCATAATCCAGTTGCCTTGGTGGTTACGAAAAACTCCACCAATGCCATATTGTCTGTGGGTAGATAAGGCAGACTCGTCTATGTTTAGTTTATAGTGGTTTGCAGCTGGAGGATGTCATTTAATGTAAAGAGGTGTGGCATGATTTTTTCTTAGGTTGTTATATGTTAAAAAATAATATTTTGCTGCTGCAGTGATTATTAGGTGAATATTTAAAGGAATTCTTTTATTTTCCAATGTATTTTTATTCCTTATAATCCATAAATGGCATAGTGCAAAAGGTAACAGTGTAGTAGAAGGGATTTGATGAGGAGTGGATGATAGAGGTGTATGAATAATATCATACAACCATGATGTATTATCCATTTGAGTTGTATCAGTACTCGGAGTTGGGAGAGATAATTTGAGGTAAGCCCATAGCTGAAGTGCACTTGGGCATTCAAGAAAAATATGAGTTATTGTTTCAGGAGCCAGATGACACTGTGTACATATAGGTGAATGTATAATACCTAGACGTGAGAGATACGTAGCAGTAGGAAGTCTGTTATGGGATATTAACCAAAGAAAGAAAGACATTTTTGGTGAAATTTTTAGATGTCAAATCCATTTGTAAGAAGAGTGGTGAATGGTATTAGGGATGAGTGATGTATACAAGATTTTATAGAGAAGAGACCATTTGGGGTAAGAGCCCAAAAAATTTGATCATAGGTTGTGTGTGATAGAGGCATGTATATATCCTTGATGGTAAGCTTTAATTGATTTGGTAATAGGAAAGGTAATTTTTCCAAATGCCATTCATGATTGTAGTAATAAGCGGAGGCTAATCTTTGCTCCTCATAACGGGGTAATGGTCCAGCTATACAAGTGCGAAGTGTGAATTTTTGTTTGATCCAAGGATCAATCCAAAAGTACACATGTTGGCCATTGGTAAGGTTCCATTTATATCCTAAGCGACAATAGGACCAGCCACGCTTTATATTTTGCCAAGTAGATGAGGCATTTCTTTTTATAAGATGTTTTGGGCGTATATATGTGTGTAGAAGTACCTGTGCCCAAAGTTGGTTGGGATTTTGGAAAAGTCTCCGTGCAAAACTTGCGTGTAATGCTTTATTTTATGTTGAGATATTTTGTATGCCCATGTCTCCTTGCTCTAACGATCGTGTTACACTATTCCACTTAATAAGATGCATTTTTTTCTTTTGTGGAGTTCTACCCCATAGAAAATTTCGTTGATAGCGAGTGAGATATGAGAGCATAGAGTTAGGTATTGTATTATATTGCATGAGGTAATTTGGTAGTTGGTTTAAGGTAGAACGAATTAGTGTTGTCCTACCTGCTTTGGATAAAAAATTTGTTTTCCAACCCGCTAGTTTATTTTTGAAATTATCTAGTAAGAATTGGTAATCCCTTTTTGATGGAGGTTTTGTAAAGATAGGGAATCCTAAATATCTTCCAAAGGTTTTTCCTTCCTTCATTTGAAAGAGTTGGAGAACTGATGTTCTGGTAATTACTGAGCAATTTTTTGAGAAGAAAATATTTGATTTTTGGAAGTTTATAGTTTGGCCCGAGTGATTGGTAAACTGGGTAATAGTATCAACAATTGATTCGCATGTATTAGGAGTAATTTTTGCTGTTAGAATAATATCATCAGCAAAAAATAAATGAGATAGTTGAGGTCCCCTTTTAGCAAGGGAGATTGGTTGCCAAGCATGATAATCAATTGTTGTGTGGATTGTGTGCGAGAGCATTTCAAGATAAAGGATAAACAGATATGGCGATAATGGGTCTCCTTGGCGCAGGCCTCTGGTAGGTGTAAAATATTCAAATGGGTTTCCATTAATAATAATAGAGATAGATGTAGTTGTGATACAGGACATAATTAGTTGAATAAAAGTTGGAGGAGCCTTGCCGGAAAAATTCATGACCGTCAACAGATTTCATGCCAAACTTGTTTCTCACTTCTCCATCAGAACGCCAGCACCATGGACACTCCCTAAAAATATTAGACCTGGTTTGTAACGATCCGACCGGTCGTTTTGATCTCTAGCACGTCGTTCGGCAGTTTGAGACTGTGAGAAACTTCATATCAAGTAATATGACTTGTACGCATGGTCGGAATTGAATTCCGGGAAGTTCGGAGTTGATTTGGAAAGAGAATTTGCTTTTCGGAAGCTTTAAGTTGGAGGAATTGACAAGAATTAGAATTTTGAGTAAACGACCTCGGAATCGGGATTTGAAGGTTCCAGCAGGTTCGTATGATGATTTAGGACTTGGGCGTATGTCCGGATCGGGTTTTGGATGACCCGGGAGTGTTTCGGCGCATATTGTGGAAGTTAGCATTTTGGAAGAATTCCATAAGTTTGGGTTGAAATGCATTTCAATGTTATCAATGTCCGTTTGGGATTCTGAGCCTAGGAATAGCTCCGTATGGTGATTCTGGTTTTGGGAGCGCGATCGGAAGTGAATTTGGAGGTCTATAGGTCATTTTGGAGTCATTTGGCGAAAGTTAGAAATTTGAAGGTTTTTGAGGAGTTTGACCGGAAGTGGACTTTTTGATATCGGGGTCGAATTCCGATTCTGGAAGTTGGAGTAGGTCCGTAATGTCAAATATGACTTGTGTGCAAAATTTGAGGTCAATTGGACGTGATTTGTTAGGTTTAAGCATCGAAAGTAAAAGTTTGAAATTTTACAGTTCATTAAGCTTGAATTGGAGTGCGATTCATGGTTTTAGCGTTGTTTGTCGTGATTTGAGGCTTCGAGCAGGTCCGTGTTATGTTATGGGACTGAGTTGTGTGATTGGACGGGGTCCCGGGGGCCTCGTGTGTGTTTTGGACGTATGGGAGGAGTTGGAAGAACACCAAATTTTCTGGTGTTCTTTGCACCAGTTGCAGGTCTCACAAATGCGAGAAATTGTCCGCAAATGCGAACCTCGCATTTGCGATGAAGCGCGACCCAGGCAGTGTTCGCATTTGCGACACTTTTGCCGCATTTGCGATCCCAGCAGACGTCGCATTTGCGAGTCTGTGGTTGCATTTGTGATCCCAACAGCTGAGACCAGGCATCGCACTTGCGAGGCTTTTGTCGCATTTGCGACCCTCGCATTTGCGAACCTGGTGTCGCAAATGCGACATCATAGGGCTGTGTCCGGCTCTTTTAATGCGGGATTTAGGCCATTATTTCATTTCACTTCATCCTCTTAGGTGATTTTTGGAGCTTTTGGAATAGGGTTTTCACCTAGCACTTTGAGGTAAGTAATTTCTACACAACATGAGTTTAATACATAGATTATGGCTAGATTAACATGTAAAAATTGGTGAAATCAAGGGTTTAGATGAAAAATCTAGGTTTTGGCTGAAAATTAGATTTGACCACGAAAAATGGTTATGGAATGGTGTAGAAATCATATATTCTTGATCCTTAGGTTATGGGTAACAACTTTCTTCAAAAAATTTCGGAATCCAGGCACGTGAGCCCAGGGATGAATTTTAGGAACCTTGCATTTAGGGTTGGGAAATTAGTTTAATAATTAGAATATGAACTTTTGAGCATGTATTGACTAGTTCTTACCCCATTTGAATAGTTTTTGGATCGTTCGGCTCCGATTTGGAGGTTTGAGCGTGTTCTTGAATAGGGATATAGGCTTCGGAGCGAGGTGAGTCTCCTTTATAACCTTGTAAGAGGGAATTGTCCCCGTAGGTGAATTAATTGTATATGTGCTTCTATTTGTGGGGGCTACGTAAGCACGAGGTGACGAGAGTCCGTGCGTAGCTACTATTATGCTTAAGTCCGGGTAGTCTAGGACCCAAAAGCATGCTTTACTTGCAATATTTGAAATCTTGTTGTCAAATTTAAAAAAAAAATGCTTAAAAACATATCGAACGTATAAATGAATTTCTAAAGGACTAGTCATCGTTCTTGATTTTAAAAGAGAAATTGCCTCTTTCTTGGATAATTGCTCCTTGATGAATTCTTGATTGACTGTTTGAGTGTGTT